AAACAAACAAACAAACAAACAGGATAAATCCCGTTTACAAGCACGAGCTTTGACAGTGTAATAATATGGTATTACGAGAATTTGTTGACGAATATTGCTATTTGGCATAGAAATATAAGTTCCAAACTTGTATTACAAATTCAATGAGTGTCCTTTGCCAGGAAGAAAACCACTATATTTTGGTCTACGAATATATGACCTAAGTTGTATTTAAAAACTGTATTACGAACACGACCAATGAGCCTTAATTATTGCTAGAAAGGAGATTTTAGAAGTACTAGTACGGCCGATGATCACTTTATGATCTGCAAATATTAGATAAGTCTAAAATCGTATTACGAACACGAAGCCTTACTTATTGCCAGGAAGTAAGTAAGTAAGGCTTTGTGTTCGTAATACAAAGCCTTATTTATTGCCACTGGGAAAGGAGATCGAGATTTGTATAGGTAATAGGACTACATGCTGTCCAATTTGGAAATAATTGGATGAAAAAAAGTCCGAGGACTGACAAAATTGGAATAGGCCGATAGGCCGAGTCTAATTTGGCAGTCCGGAATTTTTTGAATTCAATTATTTCCAAATTGGACAGACATGTAGTCCTATTGCAGATTAATTATATCATCTCAAACTATACTATTATACTATATTCATTTCCCTGAGGATGGTCGAGTAGGCCGAAAGCTCGGATCGTAGTTATTAAATCTATGGTTGATAAAACTAATTATTATGAATGTAACAACAACCAACAAGGAACTATTTGATATACTAGATTGATTCTATAGGTCAGAGTTTTCCCTCAAAAGAATGCGAATGGAAACGATCCAAATTAATCTTTAATTCGTACAGGAAAGAGAATTTGAAAATAATGCAATAGTTGCTTATATGGGATTATAGAGTGATGATACAATTATAAAAGTAATCGTAACGCCAATGATCAATATTTGATCTAATGTTATCAGAACCATTAACACACACAGCTAAAATTGTTTTAAAAAGATTATTCATTACCATGAATTAAGGACTTCATCGATGATACCGGATCACTTTCTTGGTCTACAAAAATAGGTTTAATAAGTAATATATACACTCAATTGTAAAATCATTGCCGGGTTCAAAAACACAGAACATGAAAGCTGGGACTGAAAAAGTGCTTGGGAAGTATGCTGACGTTAATTAGGGACCGGTCAATTCGGGGGGTGGAGGATCAGAAAATGTTTTTCGATGCAAAACATTTTCCAGACCCCTACCCAACAGCATTGGTGTTTTTCGGGTACCCCTCCCCCCCCCCTTTCAATCGCTTAAAAAATCCTCCTAATTCTCCCAATCCTCCTTTTGACCTTTGACCTTTGAAGGCCCCCCTTGTTCCACTAAAAAAATTTGAGGGACCCCATTTTCTCAACGATTTTGTACTTTAGTGTATTGAAACAACGATCCATTCTTATTATCTGAGTGCTTCAGTAAAGAAGGATGCAATCGCTACTATAAATTTTATTTTACAGTGCTTCCTAATCAAATGCGCAAAATCTTACGATTTGCCGTCACAACAAAATAGGGCTTTGGTGGACGTCAATCAAAGTGTTTCCATGACGATGTCCAAAGACACAGAGTTTTCAAGGGCGAATTTCATGGAAACGCTAATTGAATGACGCCCAGCAAAACATACTTCGTCACGACGGCAAGTTGTACTGATTTCGCAAGTGTGATTGGGAAGCGCTGCTGTGATTATATCAAAAGGTAATCATCCTTGGTCTTCCTTGAGACCCAAAATATTTATCAGCTAACGTTTGGACTTCGTTTTTCGAAACGGTCTCGAGTTCAGGGGTTAGTGATCGCGGACTCTTAAAAGTTGTTAAAGGATTTTGAGTCGCCAATACGGGTTTGTAGTGGCGGCCGTTTGGGAGAATATATATAATGTGTTGGTCACACTGTGATTCTCCAACGCTGGGTAATTCTTAGCCGTCATCACATTGACGGCAGATTGGGGCAAAATATGTTTCTTATTGGCCATATTGAGATTTTCCTATCGCTAGGTAATTCTAGCCGACAATGGGGGTTTATATTGGGGGCTCTCTCCCGATTAAACTTATAGGAGAATCGCGATGCTCCAATAAATGAGTACGATGAAATATGATAGAATTTAATGCAGATTTGATTATTGCATAATAGTACTCCTCTTCACAGTTCCCTGCGCCATCTTGAAAGGTAGCCGTGCCTTTGCATCGAAGCGAGACGAACGGTGAGCTTGCAATGATAGAGACATGTGAATAATCCAAGGTGTTAAAAAAGGGACTCTATCATTGAAAGCTCACCGTTCGTCTTGCTTCGATGCAAAAGGCACGGCTTCTTTTCAAGCTTTTTCAAGATGGCGCAGGGAACTGTGAAAGGGACTATTACTAACATGCATCACTTTGAGTTCTCGGTTCATCCTCTATTTTGCATTTTGATTCTCAAAGGGGGTTTCACCTGTCTTACAACTATGGCTCAGACACCTACCCAAGAATGTCATCTCAGAGTTGGTTTTTTACACTTTTGAATCATTTCTCTTTAAAATAAAAGCGGTACGGAAGCTGAGTTACATTACATTGAAAAATAACAATCTCGATACCGTGTAGGTTATTTTTCTTATTGTTGGAAATAATCAAAAACACAACAAAGAAAGTTGTAGAAAGAACTTTTTAGATCGATTGTTTTACATGAAAAATGAAAAATGTTTTAATTTATTTGAAAAATGAATGCACTGCTGTTAGACTTTATGAAGTTGTCCTTCAAAAACTTAACAGAAAACTCAGTTAATTACTCATTTTTGCCAATCTCGTGGTAAATATGCCAACATAATCAGTAAGCTCTCATTACATACTTCCAAAGATCAGCAAAACTCAAGCGAGAGAAGAATGATTGCCATATATAGCTGGAAATAAAAGGGTATTTTAAAATTGGTACAAACTATCGACTTTAGTTAAGTAAGTTCCAAACTTTTCAAATTCACGTCAGTTTAACGGCCTGTTGGTTCTATTTCAGATGGCTTCCAGATACCACAACATACAAGCTTTGAGCATCTTATTATTGGTTCTTATCTATCAGGCGCATCACGTGACAAGCGAACAAAAGAGCGGGAAAATTAATAAGTATTGCGGTGAGCAATTTATTAGTGCATGGTCTGTCTGCTGTGGAAATAATCCAGATTGTGAGAACTCGAAACGACAAGTACAAGGTGAGGAACAAGGTTTGTTTCCTCTGTTCATCATATTACATGCCATGTTATCCGACTGCTTTCATTTATCCATCCGTCAGCTCATTCTGTTCATCTGGCCATCCATTCCATTTCATTTGTTGTCTTTCCAACCACCCATCTATCCAACAAGTCATTCATCTATTCATCTATTCAACTATTCACCTATTCACCATCTGTTCATCTATTCACCAATTCACCATCTATTCATCTATTCATCGATCCATCTATTCACCATCTATTCATCCCTTCATCCCTTCATCCCTTCATCCCTTCATCCCTTCATC